ACTGACAACTCAGTACTCTATATGCAAAAGGGTTCATATTTGTTGTCTGTACTTCCCATGTACCACTCTATGTCTTTCTCATCCTCAGTGCTGCCATATTGGTCACTCACCTTTGGTACATTGTCCTTCGGTGAAAGAGATTTTTAAAAGCACTCATCTTCTCCCTTCCATCATAACCCCTTCCTTTTTGTAAATTCTATAAAACATTTCATGTTTTATATGTAAAAAATCTTGCTCTTAACATTTTCAGTGGTCTTATACCTTAGCCAACTCATGCCCTTTTTATGAACATAACTCTAAACTCAGCTATATTAAAGCTTGCTGAGTATCAAGATATATGTTTCAAATCTTTTGAGTTGAACAAAGTCACAAAAACAATGTTCTTAGACTGTTAGTCTTTTAACATTTACATGGTACACATGTACCTATTCTTTTTGGTCAGATTTTAGCACATTCCTCTGAGCTGTATGAGATAAGATGTCCAAGAGTGTCAGAGATATTTATACAAACAGAAAACAAAGAAACAAACAAAAAGAAACAGGAGTTATACTTTGCAGCAGTTTATTTAAAAAAAAAAAAAAAAAGTCCAAAATGCCAGAAAGTTAAAGTCAGTTTTAAAGTCTAAAAAATATCATATTCTGGATGATTCATGGATTATTTTGTTTAGAGACAATGTGCTCATATAACTACGAAGCTAGATAGGTTGGGTTTTAAGTGTGTTCAATTTTTTTCAGGGAGTCTCGGTTGTTTTTTTTTTCAGTTGTTAGGTGCTGTCGAGTTAGTTTCTGTTCATAGTGACCCTGTGTACAACAGAACAAAATACTGTCTGGTCCTGTACCATCCTCACAATTGTTGCCATGCTTGAGCTCATCATCACAGCCACTGTCCCAATCCATCTTGCTGAGAGTATTCTCCTTTTTTGCAGAAGCTCTACCTAGCATCACATCCTTCTCCAGGAGCTAGTCCCTTCTGACCACATGTCAGAATATTAGAGACAAAGTCAAGATATTTTCACTCCTAAGGAGCATTCTGGCTACACTTTCTCCAAGGCTTAGTTGCTAGTTCTTCTAGCAATCTATATTCAATATTCCTTGCCAACACCACAACTTAATGCATGAGTTCTTCTGTGGTTGTCCTTACTCATTGTTCAGCTCTCACAAGCATATAAGGCTATTGAAAGTACCAGGGCATTGGTCAGGCATGCCTTAGTTATCAAAGTGACATTTTTTCATTTTAACACTTTAGAGAGGTCTTTTGCAGCACATTCGTCCAAAGCAATGCATTGTTTGACTTCTAGACTGCTGTTTCCATGGGTGTTGATTGTGGACAAAAGTAAAATGAAATCCTTGATAACTACAATATTTTTTTCCATTTATCATGATGGTGCTTATTGGTCCAGTTTTGGAGATTTTTGTTTTCTTTATATTGAGTGAAATTCACACTGAAAACAGTACTCTGATCTTTGTCAGTAAGTGCTTTAAGTCTTCTTCACTTTCAGCAAGCAAGCTTGTATCAGCTGCATATCACAGGTATTTAATGAGTCTTCCTCCAGTCCTGATTCTGTGTTCTTTTTCATATAGTCCTGCTTCTCAGATTATTTGCTCAGCATGCATATTTGAATAAGGATGGTTGAAGGATACCACCCTGACACACACCTTTACTGATATTAAACCACATAATATCCCCTTTTGTTGTTTGAACAACTGCCTGTTGGACTATGTACAGGTTTCTCATGAGCACAATTAAGTGTTCTGCAATTCCCATTTTTCCCAATATTATGTACATATTTTTATGATCCATATAGTGTATGCCTTTGCATAGTCAATGAAAAATGGGTAAACATCTTTCTGGTATTCCTTGCTTTCAGCTAAGCTCCTTCTGACCACAATAATATTCCTTATACCATGCCTTCTTCCAAATCCAGTTTGAAATTTTGGAAGTTCCTTATTAATGTACTGCTGCAACCACTTTTGAATTATCTCCATCAAAATTTTACTTTTATAGTATATTAATGATACTGTCCAATAATTTCTGCATTTGTTAGATTATCTTTCTTTGGAATGCACAAATATGGATCACTTCCTGTTGGTTGGCCAGGTAGCTCTCTTTGAAATTTCTTGGTGTAAACAAATGAACACCTCCAGTTCTGCATCTGTTTGTTGAAACATCTCCATTGGTATTCCACCAGTTCTTGGAGCCTTGTTTTTCATCAGATCTTTCAGTGAAGTTTGGACTTGTACTTTCAGAACCACTGGTTCTTCATCATACACTGTCTCCTTGAAATGGTTGAACATTGAGCAATTCCTTTGGTACAGTGACTCTGTATATTCTTTCCATATTATTTTTATGCTTCCTGAATTGTTCAATATTTTGTCCATAGAATCCTTCACATCTCAATGCAAAGCTTGAGTTTTTTCTTCAGTTCTTTCAGCTTGAGAAATGCCTAGTATGTTCTTGCCCTTTGATTTTCCAACTCCAGGTCTTTTCACATTTCATTATAATACTTTACTTTGTCCTCTCAAACTGCCCTTTGAAATAATCAGCTCTTTTAATTCATCATTCTTTCTATTCCTTTAAATACTCTCCATTCAAGAGCAAGTTTCAGAACTATCATCCATTTTGATCTTCTCTTCCTTTCTTGTGTTTTTAATGACCTTTTGTTTTCTTCATGTATGATGTCCTTAATGCCATTCGTCAAATCTTCTGATCTTTGGTCACTGGTGTTCAATGCATCTAAGTTTGACTTCAGAACTAGTTTCAATACAGGGTATCTATCTATTTATTTATTTATTTTTGCAGTGTTCCCTCATCTCCTCTTCCATCCCTGGTAACCAACAAAGAAAGTTAAGCTTCCTTCCCTGTATAAATATTTCCTTGACTTTACAATAATGAACTAATACAATATTTGTCCTGTGATTGACTTATTTTACTTAGCATAATGTCATTCAAGTTCATCCCTTGTAGATTCTACATTATTCTTTAGTGTTGGATAGTATTTCATTGTGTGTATGTACCACTCTTTGCTTCCATTCTTCTGTTAATAGGCACCTAGGTTGTTTCTAGGAGCTGTGGTGGCATAGTGCCTAAAACATTTTGACTGCTAACCACAAGGCTGGTGGTTCTAATCCACCAGCCACTCCTCAGAAGGAAGAATGAGCAATCTACTTCTGTAGTGATACTGCCTGGGAGCGGTTGCTATGAGTCAGATCTGACTCAATGGGAGTGAGTTTTTTTTTGTTTTTGTTTTTGATTGTTTCCATCTTTTTGTTGTTGTAAATATTGCTGTGATGAACAAGGTTATGCATATATCTGTTCTTGTCCTGGCTTTCACTTCTCTAGGATATATACCTTGTAATGGAATTACTGGATCAATTGGTATTTCTAATTCCACCTTTTTAAGGAATCACCATACTTCTTTCCACAGTGGTTGTATCATTTTACAGTCCCACCAGCAGTGTATGAGAGTCCCAATCTCCCCACATCCTTGCCAGCATTTATTATTTTCTGTCTTGTTGAACTTTGTTATTAGTGCTGGAGCAAGATGGTATCACACTGTTGTTTTGATTTTCATCTTTCTAATGGCTAATGAGGGAGCTCTGATAGCATAGTGCCTAAGGCACTTGACTGCTAACCACAAGGCTGGCAGTTCAAACCCACCAGCCACTGCTCGGAAGGAAGGTTGGGCAATCAACTTCCATAGTGATACCATCTTGGAAACCCAAGGAGGGGCCGCTATGAGTTGGTTCCGACTCGACTGGCACATAACAAGAACAACGACAATGGCTAATGAGCCCTGGTGGTGTAGTGTCGAAGGCATTTGACTGCTAACCAAAATGCTGGTAGTTGAAACCCACCAGACACTTCTAGGAAGGAAGACTGGGCAATCTACTTCCATAGATATAGTGTCTCAGAAACCCAAGGAGGAGTGGATGTTTAAAAAATACACATTCCTTTAAATTAATTAATTATTATATTCTACTGTGGTGAGTATTTATATAAGAAACATTTGAATTAGACAAAGTTTTGCTCCAATTTTGTGTTTATTACTTCTGAGCAAGTTATATAAAATATCTTAATTTTATATATAAGAGTTTCTGTAATTTATTCAAAGGAATAGCTATTTTAGAATCATGAAAAATAGTATGAGAATTAATAAAATGACCAATTTCTATCCTAAAGTAATTCAGTTTTTGGTTAGTTGCTTCATGATTTATACATCTGGACTATACAGATAGAATATTAAAGAGAACTGAGGATCTAGAGTTTTCTATTTTAAAGAACTGATGACAATGAGGAATTGTTTCCTTTTCATAACCAGGACATAATATTAAAGAATCTTATTTAAAACAGTTAACTATTTTATTACTTGCTTCTGAATAACATAATGGTTTATTCTTCTAAGACTTCCCCCTAATAGTACTATACAAAGGACTATAATCTACACTGGAGTTAAACTTATGCCCCCCAAACCAAAATGGTTACAATTAGAAACCACATTTCTCTGTACATGGGAAGATTATTTTCTCTTTGTGTAAATAGACTGACCTACAGTGATGAAATTTTCTAGTATAAAAAGTTCATATTCATTTAATTTCTTTCTTTACAGGAGTAACAACTGTACTCACCATGACAACATTGAGTATCAGTGCTAGAAATTCCCTCCCTAAAGTGGCATATGCCACAGCTATGGACTGGTTTATTGCAGTGTGCTATGCCTTTGTGTTCTCAGCTCTGATTGAATTTGCAACAGTAAACTATTTCACCAAACGAGGTTATGCTTGGGATGGCAAAAGTGTGGTTCCAGAAAAGGTAAATGCTTTAATAGCCTCTGTAATATATCATTTTTTGTGATTTCTTAATCCTACGAGACAGAATGTTTAACAAAAACAAAATTATCATAATTCATAATCATTTATGGTATAATAAAAAATGAATCCACATATTTTTATTATACCACAAATAATTATGTTATGATAATTTTGTTTCTGTTAAGTCTATTCAAAATATAGAAGAACAGACAAAGGTGAGACAATAGATAAAACATTTCTACTCAAATATATTTTCCTATGGTATCTATCAATTTGAGAACAGTTTTAAACTTGACATTGGAAGCCAGTGAACTTACCTAGTACCATATGCCTTATAATTTGTATAACTTGAAAATCATAGCCTTTTGGTGGTTCTTTAAGGCTAGTCACTTTGATCATGAATGTTACTATAATTGTCCAATTGAACTAAGTCTGCATTAAGTTTATCTTTAGAGATAATACAGCACATTATCTCTGATACACATTATCTCTGATTTTCAGGGACATCAAGGTCAGGAAATACGTTTTCTTTTTCCAAAATAGAAAGTTGCTTTAAACACACAAAAATCATTCCTCATTGTAGAAAATAATATTTGCAGAATATGGCTCCTCTCTTTCATTAGAACCTATTCACAGTATAGATTTTAAGTCACAATTGGGAGAAAATTTCTATTTCTCGGTTTATAAGAGACAACATGTCAAAATGCAAGTAAGCCTTGCAATCATGGAAAGAAGGACAAAATATGGTATTTAGACTCTCAATTAGGAGTTCTGGTGGCATACTGTCTAAGGCATGTGACTGCTAACCAGAAGGTTGGCAGTTCAAACCCACCAGCTACTCCTCGGAAGGAAGGTTGGGCGATCTACTTCCATAGGGATACCGCCTCAGAAACCCAAGGAAGGGTCACTATGCGTCAGATCCGACTTGATGACAGTGCATTGTATTGTTGAATCTCAATTTATCCCAATAATAGATTAAATTACATTTCTTACATCTAAAATAAAGTGTAGACTTTGGTTCCAAGTAAGAAGTCACTTTGCTCAGCAATTTATAATCTTTCTTTCTATGGTTTACTAAACAAAAGTCTTTTTTTTTTTTTTTTCTACAGCCAAAGAAAGTGAAGGATCCTCTTATTAAGAAAAACAACACTTATGCTCCAACTGCAACAAGCTACACACCTAATTTGGCCCGAGGTGACCCGGGCTTAGCCACCATTGCTAAAAGTGCAACCATAGAACCAAAAGAAGTCAAGCCTGAAACAAAACCACCAGAACCGAAGAAAACCTTTAACAGTGTCAGCAAAATTGACCGACTGTCAAGAATAGCCTTCCCGTTGCTATTTGGAATCTTTAATTTAGTCTATTGGGCTACATATTTAAACAGAGAGCCTCAGCTAAAAGCCCCTACTCCACATCAATAGGTCCTTTTAGTCACATTCTGTTGTTCAGTCCTCTGCACTGGGAATTGCTTTCTGTTTTCAACGCAGCAATTCCCATCTGCTTTATTTCCTCTATCTTAAAGAATTTGAAAGTTTCCTTATTTCCATAACTCATGCAAGAACAAGAGACCCCTGTCTGGCAGTCAAGAGCAGAGTATACTGCTGAGGGACAGGATTCTGAGAGAGGGAGCAAGATCTCTTCAGGAGACAATAAAGAGAGAGGAAAGGAGAGGGAACAAAGTGCAAAGAAATGAGGAAAAGTAGAAGAAAAATGAAACTTACTATATAACCCCTAGGTCATTTGTAGATATATATTTCCAAATATTCTTAAAAAAAAAGATATTGTATATGTCAGAAATATTTTTATGTGAGGGTTTTCAAAGAATAAATTATAAATGTTTAATGAAGAAAAAAATTCTATGTATTTCTTGCACAAACTATGGTGTACGTACCTTTTATTTCTTTAAAAAGATGTATAGCTTTAACATTTTGTTTGGAAAACTAAAAAATATACATTTTTTCTCTGTTTAAAATTGCTAATACCATCATTCTGTTGTTAAATGCTATTTTAAAATTCATGGAAATTCCATATTGCAAAGGTGCAGTGCATCACCGTGGAGCACATTTAATCCAATGGACAGAAATGCTTTAAATAGGCTTCCTTCCTGTCATCTGAGCTTTTACCACTAGACTCCGTGAAGAATCGTTTACTACTAGATTTCATTGAGGAATCACATACATTCAATATAAAGTAAATAAAGTAAAATAAATTTCAAAAATTATTAAAAGATTTCCTTTCCTATTTCTAGATTACACATGGGTCCAATAATCACTTGATTCTTATGAAGAAGATGTTTTCAGAGGGGCAAAAATATTTTGCAAGCTCTAGAATTGTTGAATGTATTATTTTATATAACAGTACATTAAAAGCTTTAGACTACAATTTATGACTAACAAAAAATAGAATCTATAAATTATATATGTAAATATACAGCATGAGATTATACATTTTTTTACTTTTTTTTAAAGTTGTGTTCTTAAAATACTGTGTAGGACTCACCACTTGTAGCTGGTAGAATGTCTTTAAATGCTACAGAAAAACATTTAGAGCCTGCGTTTAAGAACAAAACAGCCCGTAGGTATAAAATGGAACTTAAAACACATGAGCCTAAAGCCACTTACCTAGAGAAAGTTTCTAATTTCAAACTGGTGTCCAATGTACAATAGTAGATCAGTTGCTATCTGCTCAAGTTATGCAGCATTTCTCTATTTTAGGCTATCGTAATGTAGAAAGGAAATGGAAAACCATTAATTGGAGTTATAAAATCAACATGTATACTACTGCTCTATTTGCTGATACTGTTTCAATAAGTGTTGTAACATATGTAGCATTAAATAAAAAATACATGGAAGAATGTACAGAAAATAGCTTTCTAGTAATATTATTACATTTCATTTATACTGTAGCAATATATTTGTAGGTATACTATGTAAGGGCTTTAAATACAAGAGGTCCATTAATACTCCCTCTGAAAAATTCTCTTTCTTTCATTACTGCCCAGATGTTTTAGAGATAAATATTTATGCAGAAAGTATTTTTGAAGTCTCCTTTTGTCTGATAGAGTTTCAAAGATATTTAAATTTAACATCCAAATTCCACAGGTCATGGTCTAAACATGTATAGATTATTATGGCATAAATCTTTTAGCATAATTGCCAAATAAGACAGTTGGGATCCATACCAAAGTTTGAGGAATGTTTTTTTT